AATACCGATTGCCCAGGCCTCACCACGAGGAGGTTGCTGCGAGTGGAGGCCCAAGGCAGGTAGATGGAATCACAAGTTCTACATCTACCCACCTTTCACAATAAACCTTATAAATAACTTAAATCTTAACTATATAATACTATCGGTACTAAAATCCCTCGGCGGATGACTTCTTTCTTGAGCCTAAACCTATAAAAAACTAAGTTCCCTCGTCGGTTGTCTTCGTTCTTCAGCTTAGAACTAATATTATCTTAATATTCTAATTAATACGAATTAATGCTAGTAATACAAAATAACAAATTTAACGCAATGTAGTCGCTAATACTCAAACGAAAGAGATAGACGGAATGGAAAAAGTTCCATCGATCATTTCGTTTACGCACCTAATATACCAAGCCAAAAATTAATTCTACGATGAACCACGTTAAACTACAGTATGAACAAGTATCGCGATGAAAGTGTTGTCGCCAGAACCTGGTTTAAGAAAATAGGAAAGACGGGCGCAACCTCGCAAACCCGAATCCATCTCTCACTTTCCAGGCCCTTTGGGCTGGTCACCTACGTACCAGACCCGAGCACAGGTCATGACCAAGTATGGTAGTGCAAGCGAGATCCCCTGTAAAACAGAGTCCTTTTACGGAGCAGACTCCCGACTACTCCGTAGGCGGGTACGTTGTACCCAGGCGCGCACGAGCCTTTACTCCAAATCCTACTTACCAGGCAAAGACTAAACACGTCCGATATCTGGCTTCTCAATAGAAACCAGAGGGATCGGCAAACAGTCTTAGTGCACAGGCCCACTGCCCGTACCATAATAGGTACAGACCCACTGCCCATACCCCAAGTCTGTGTAGAGAAATCAACGAGCAAAATGAATTAATAATAACTTGGTATGCACAATGGCTGATCACAATTTAAGTCTATTAATAGATAGACTAAAATTAATAATAAACGATGTGATGATGAATATGAATATAACAATGAATATCGAATTATGATTTAAGTTTACCTTACAGTAACTTAACGCAGTGGTAGACGCTTTGAGGATGTAGACGTTGATCGATGTCTTCTTCCGATGGAATAACTGATTGGAAAAATATTTTTCATTATACAATACACATAGACTACATAATATGCACAGTAAATAAATCTCAGTATAGAAATCACAGTAAATAAATCACAATAAATAAATCACAGTAAATAAATCACAGTACATAAGAAGATAAATATCGAAGCCAATAATTCTCGAACATCTGTAACATACAAGGGATTAGTAACAAGAGAGTGGACACAACTATATGCACAGTAAATAAATCACAGTATAGAAATAACAGTAAATGAATCACAGTACATAAGAAGATAAATATCGAAGCCAATGGTTCTCGAACATCTGTAACATACAAGGGATTAGTAACAAGAGAGGGGACACAACAATATGCACAGTAAATAAATTAACTGGTTGTCGAATGCCTGCAACACACAATGGGTTAGTAACAAGAGAAAGGACGAGTATGAGACGCGGGCCCACCCTCCGCGACGGCTCACGAGAAAGTGAGGAAGCTAACGCCGTGATGTATTGGGCGTACGTAGGTTATTACGCAACAGCTGGTTTCTTTGTTAAGTTTGTTCGACTTGAGTTGTTTTTGCCGGCTTGAACGACCTTCCTCCTTGAACGACCCAAACATCGGATGGTACAGCCAGGTACGGCCATGATACACGGCGTACACGGCTAGGTTAATAAACTGTGTGACGCAACGTCACTAGCGGGTTGGGCCGACGGAGAACACCGATACCGCGGCTCGCTCTACCGCTCTCGGTCTCTCCCGTCGCCCGCTCCGGCCATCTTCGGCACCCGTCGGCACCAACGGAAAGCACCGATACCGCGGCTCGCTCTACCGCTCTCGTTTATTTATGATTTTCATATTCCCCAAATAAATATCATTTTTAATTAATTTGTTTAAGCAACATGTTCCTTTTAAAGATTTAGCTCTCCGGTATAAATCCCTAAGACAGTTATTTATTATTCATTCACAAAATAATTGCAAATATGAAACTTCTTTATCCCTTCTTGAACATTCTAATTTCATAGCCCTAAACTAGGTACCTGAAAGTATTTCATTGAATTTGTGTAAAAGATTTTACTATTTCCTAAAAGACTCCGTGTGATATTTGATAGCCTAAAAAATAGTGTGCCGATACAAGGTTTCGATTTATTTACGAAACTAATCTGACCAGTTGCTGCATTCTTTGACACTAATTTTCAAGAAAATAAAACTTCTCTATTTTACTTAATTTGAGAGACACGTAGCTGAATATTAACATACGTTCATTATTTAATTACTCGTAATAAATAAAATTTTTGTAAGTAAATAACGTGTAAGTAAATTCATATGTAAAAATTTACCAATTGCCAGAAAGTAATTGTTCGTGCGTATTAAGATTCTTACAATAGGCAGTAAAACTATTCATACTCCCATATAAATTGTAAATATGCAAATGTTAATAAAAGCGGTGTATACATTCTCCCACCTGTAGATTCGATAAACTATTTATGAAACTATATCTATTCTGCATTTATCTGTTACAAATATACAAATCTAAGGCAAGATATAAAAACGAATAAAACAAGAACATGTAAAAAGTAACATTAATAAAATGTCCATTAGCGATGCATTTAGAAGAAATTGTCTTGTAGTTAAGTGAAAAAATATATACTTTTCCGTTTCATGTTTCATGACTTTAGTCAAAATCGCGTTAAACAATTCGTATCCCGACGTATCCCCCTCTTCCGAGGTCGGATCCACACCGTTATACTACTTATCTAAATATATATAATATAATTAAAAATATACGTGATTATTTCTTATCCTGTCTTCTATTCCCGTTTTTTCCCGCATTCTCTTCACCTGCTTGTTTATATCCAATGTTCTTCCGTCCCTCCTCCAGCACCATCTATCCTTGATTGCTTCTCTCCTCTTATCCGATGTTTTTGATCCTCACTTCTTGATGCTGAGACTTTACATTTGTTCTTATATGATTATTCACAACACCTTCTGCTTCCCTGGTACAAAACATCATTTTTACACCTGTTTAAACAAAACTGAAGGTCAGCTTCTCTTTCGCATCCTGTCCAGAGTCGAATCTCCAGACAGGATCCCAGGCGGCACCACGTGGAAGCGAGAGGGTGTGATTTTCGGGGCTCCCACACTTCTCTGATCGACTAAAACATGCTTCTTAGATGTCGGATCCATCTGAACATTCTTCCACCATCCCGGAATGGAAAAATCCCCTAGATCTGCCGCCTAACTAACAAGTATACGTTTAATATAACCGCATATTATAAACAAGAACTAAAAAATACTATAGTACCATTATATTATACTTTACCTACCAGCATAAATGTTATGACGCAATTCAAAATAAAATAAAGGAATACATTCGTTAAGGAAGATTTAGAAATATTTTATAATACAGATATTATAAATTTCTTGTATCTTCACATAGCATTGTACTCAAATTCACGACTTTTAGCCGATTAAGATCGGTAGTGTAACAGTGATGGAGGGAAAATCGATTTCCACTTTATTCGACACTTGTAATGTCAAATTCTATGGCATCTGAAAGGTGCTACGACGTTATAGGGGCGTTTTCTGACTTCGCCTTTAACTTAGCCGACTGATTATTGTTTATATCAACTTAGTAATTCTGTAGCTAATACAGCATTGTCTGTACGTACTTAAGTTATCCATCAATTTCCTTGACAGACCAAAACTTGTGTACTTGCGTATAGTAGTCCTGTCTCCTCCACTTCACTGTTAGTGTGGGATTTCATCCCGTTAAAATAGTTAGTCAACTGTACTACGTAAGCTTTACGTCGTAAGGGGACCATCCCGTAAGCATATCGAGCATAAGTGTCATACGGTAAAATTCATGTCAGTTACACAAGGTCTGATCTTTATCAGGGTATAAAAATATTCCGCCGCCTAGATAATTTAATGACCAACGATGAAACTGTTTTATTTTTGCTTTTTTTAAAATCTTTAGTACACATTTGTTCGTACGTTATGTTTTTATTAAGTAAAATAAATAAAGTATAGTATAGTTAAGTATAGTTTAATTTTTTGCCGTTAGATAGATAAGTTCTCGAAAATGTGGTTCGAGACCCTAAGATATTACATGGGGACCCGACATCTGTTGGGATCCCGGCGGATCTCGCCAAACTTCTCCCGACCCGACTCGATCTCAAAATGTAAAATACTAGTTCCTGTTAATAAATAAAAGGTTAAATTTCCTATAAACAATTAAAATGAAAGCATAGGTCTGGGGGTTATGATCTGTGTTTATTTTTATTTTCAAAGCAAAATACTGATTCTATGTTGGTTAGATAGTTTAAGAAAAAAAATGTTTTTTCAAATTTCCTGAGGTTTCCGCACAAAATCACTAGTGTCGTTACACTTCTCTATTGATTCTCTAAAGAATGACACCTTGCCCATAGGGATCCATCATCTTGCACTGAATGAAATTGAGCCAAAATTACAAAACGAAACCATCCATTATTTAAATCCTACGAACATTCGTAAAACGTAAGGAAAGGACATTCCCAGAACATGCGAAATTCAAATCTTGAGAACATCTGTGGGACTGTCGGGACAGACGGTTCTAGAACATCTGAAATTTAAGTCTTACTAACATCGTAAGGATGTTTGAAATTTAACGTAGGACATTCGGATATAAACCGGGCATGAAACGGACGTCCTTTGGATGTATGCTATCTGGTTAACAAAGCTTCGGATAATATTTTTGCTAACGAAAAACTTGTTTCAAATCGCCTCACGAGTGCCAAGTGACCCATTTCACGGACCTGCAACATTTTTGTTACACCCTGTATATGACCCGAATATGTTCGAACGGTCATTTAGTGTCCACAAAAACCGCGTTAAATATACCTAATGGTGTGAAGTTTTTCTGATAATGCGTATAAATTGCAATTTCTGTTACAGAACTCTTTAGAAATGCGGCAGAGGCTGGTCCTCTGGACATCGTGAAGCTTTGCAAGGGGGAAAAACTCTTGAACATTTCAACTAATTTGCCGGCGAACACATCCGACACACCCTATGTTCTCCAGGTAACAATCCAGCTATCGTACGCAGCCGTCTCTACTATTTTATCTGATTCATTACCGTGTCCTTAAAATATTTTATGACGTTCTCATTAAATTATGCAGTCTAGTGTCCTCTCGAAACTCTATTCGGCGCATAAACGCCGTTGTTACGTGGTTGGGTTGAATAAATAATTAGGTGGAGATGTCCGTTTTCTAATATTTACTTCCAAACAGTAACACGAGATAAATTGTTGAGATACAACTAATTGGTCGGAAAACAAGTACAATCCTCAAATTGTATTTTACAAGAACTGACTGATAGAAGGCGCGTGCTGAGAGATTCGGTAACTTAAATAACTGCTGGTGTAGTGTTCTAAGGTAATATATATAGTCTGGGCCTGGTTCTGGGCCATTGGTCTTCCGTAAAAAGGAGGGGTGTATGACACGTCAGTGATTTGGAGTCATCCTATGTTATTCATATTGTTTGCGCGGGGTAGTCATCCTGACACATCGCACCGTTCGAGGAGACGGTACATTTTACTCAAACAATGACACTTAATGTTAGACGTAATCGTTTTTCAAAACTTTTCGTTGGCGACAATTTTTCATCTTTATTATTATTTTATCATTGACTTTTCGTCTGTATTATATTGCCGACTTTTCATTTATTATTGAAAAATATCTATACATTTTGTATGAACTGTACTACTACATTTGTTAATATTTATTCTTTCATACTGAAAATGAAACACATAAAAGCACTTTTAATTGAAACTCGCAAGATTCACTATAATATGTTTAATATACGAGGGTCACCTTGAGTTTTTTAAATGGAATGCCCAATATTTTGTCCATAATTCGGATGAAGCGTCAAATTCTGCGTAAAGAAGTATTATACCAAGGAGGGCTTAAAATGAATAATTACTGAGATATTCTCAAATTCGTAATCGTATACTAGGAAATATTCCATAATGCTCAGTTAACGTGAGAACACGACTTCGTTTACGACGGCAAGTCATGTTTGTAAACTCGTTCTTTGTTACATGTTAAACGTCATCAATATGAGATGTAGCTGAATTTAGTAGCTGTTTAGTAACTCAGTAAACGTAAAAGTAAGATGTTCAATAACCAAAAAAAAGTACGATACGATAATTGTTTGTGGTACGTGTGATGAAAATGCTACGAGAGCTAGGATATTATACCAACTAAGTATCCTGATCGAAATCAGCCATCACGATCTACCTTTTTAAGGTTTAGTAAAAAGCTCCAAGAACATGGCAGTTTTAGCAGTTTTAAATGATCAAGGATGCCGTACTTCTACCTTAGCAGCAGTTGCCCATAATTCACATATCAGAACACCTCAAATTTCGCGTGGTTCGGGCATTAGTCAAAGCAGTATTGTGTGTATTCTTCATTCGGATAACTTTCATCCAATCATCTGTCAGTACATTAGAAGTTTAATTACGATTTGCAATATAGAAAACATAAAATTTAAAAATTCATATTGTGACATTGAAAATATACAAAACGAAAAACCCTGAGCACTTTTCATCTTTTGTATTAATAATAAAGAATACTGTAACCTATATAAGTATAGTTTTATTTAAATACTATTTATACATATGAATTTATTGTTCCCCTAAGAATTACAATTCCTTTACATCTTGTCTCTTACTTCTAGACTTAATCTTCGTATCTCTAACTTCTTTTCATACCCAAACGCACTACCCCGTAACTTTTGTTGTAAAATTTTTCTACAAAATTTTGAAGAATACGGATTGCAAGGAAGTATAAAAAAGCGAAGGCTCTGTAGTACTTTAGTATGAAAGAATGACATTTAAAGTTATGAATGTTGTGACCTGTCCAAAGTGTATCATTAATTAAATTTTCATAATTTAGTCAACTTTCCGACTTTTGAGTTAAAGTTTTCCTGGCCTTTTCTTGTATATGTAGGTAAAAAGGAATACAACGTCAAACCTGAAATATCGTCACTTTTTCCGTCATATTCAAAAAGAATATTTTTTTAAATATTTTAATTATATCATTAATCATATTAATCTTTTTTGTTCTAAGAAAACAGTTATAAAACTTGGCCTAACCATGCAACTTTCATTGAACAAGTTTTAAATAAATAGCAAACTTTCTATTTTTTCGAACATAAAGAAAATTCCAATTAACCAGAAACTGCTCTTTTGCTTTGAAGAAGTTAAAACCGCATTACATTGTAAAATAATGTTTCAGTTAACGAGGCACAGAAGTTTCAGATCCTGAAATATTCATAATTGCTCTAGCTTCATTGTAAGTTGTGGACCACTAATGTTTCAAACACATTCTATACAATGTTTTTTCTCGTCTACCTTGAACAGATTTAAAATGAAATTTAAAAACCGAAAAATTTATAAATGCAAATGAATATTTGATAATAATAGACATACAATCTGTTTTCTGATTTAATCACGTTATGTTGTTTTTATATTAATAGCAGGGTATCGTTGATATTGTTTCTAATTTTGCTAAAGTCTAAATATTATCCATACACTTTTGTCACACATAATTTTGTTTCTTATTAAAAAGAATATATTTTCCGTCAAACTTCATCGAATCTATCAAAATCACAGATAAGTTATTCCCCCCTCTATAGTGTACAAAGAATAGAGATGGCGTGCAAAATCACTAACGGTGATTTATCACAGTGATCGTCGAATCACGATCACGGTCTTGATTTAACTTCATTCACGACCGTGATTGCGATTTTTTATCTTCAAACAGAAAAACGTATTCAATATGATTTTACGATGAATTACATTACTATTTGTGTTTGTAAAAATCAGTACAAGAAACAAGAAATTCTAAAAGAATGATTTGCTAGGTAACATGTAGATTATAATTTATAATCATTAATTTATTCATTATTCTTCATTGTGTCTAATTATTCCTTCATTTTACAATATATAACTCGAATTTTGTTTTGATGTCGTTAATATAAAATATACAGATTCTGTGTCGCGTATAAAGAACTGTTAGGTTTCTCCACCAATCAGAAACGATCACGAAAAATCACGAATCATTGTGAAAAATCATCGTGATTGGGAACGAACGTGATCGAATCACGAGTGATTTACAAGTAGCAGTTCACGCCATCTCTAACAAAGAAGGTTTCCCAACCCACACATTCTAATTTTAATGTAATATAATTTGATTGTAAAGGGTATCGAATTGTACAAAGAACAATTTTTCTTTTCGGCTGACTTTCACTTTAAGGGGGGGAACCACCCGTTTTTTTAGTATATTTTGTTAATCGTAAAAGATAGAAAATAACTTTTAATGGGCGAGTTTCGTCGTTTTTCATGTACAATCATATGGTGCTAACAAATTGTCCAAAATACAATTTATTTACGTCAAAAAATTGTTTCATAACTTTTCAAATTTACATACCGTCGAAAAGTGACGAGCATTTCTTTGAAAATCCCGTAGTATGTACATATGTACATATATGTTTGAAATTTCCTCCTACAGTTTTACAGATTTTTCTTACTTATATCCCGAGCACACGCCCGCTGACAAGGAAGGTTTCCCGATATGCAGATTTAGATTTTAATGAAACTTTGTAGAATTGTAGATTGTATCGAGTTATGCAAAGAACTATTTAATTTCGGGTGACATTCACTCTAAGGAGGTGAAATCACCTTTTAAATTATGTCGGTTTTTCTTTTTTTAAATGATTGTGTACATTACAATATACATTCTGATTTCAACTTGCTCACTACGGTTTTCGCGAATACCTGGAGCGCAAATATGCGCGTACAAATATGTTTTAACGTTCGTGCGCGTAAAAATGCTCAAGTCAGTACGCAGCTTAATATACGTATACTGATATATATTTCTTTCTTTTGCAGTTTAATAGGTCTTTCAATATCATTTACATTTCTTAATAAAACTTTGTTCCTATATCTTACGGCTAACAAGATATACTAAAAAACGGAAAACTCGGAAAAATTTAAGGGGTGACTTCACTGCTTAGAGCGAATGTCAGCCGAAAAAAATAGTTCCTTGCATAACTCGACACTAGAGTTGAAATGGGGGTTTTGAAGTCTAATTCGACTGGACTATGGTGGCAAACCATGGTGCACACGTTGCTGCCAGATATCTTCTTTACTTGTCCAAATTAAAAACCGTTCTACATTTTTACTGAATTCTTGTTCACAAGTGCTTACAGAACCAATACTACCTACGTAGTAAGTTCGTGCTAAATAAAGAACTGTTAGGGAAAATGCAAAATAGTGCGTAGATAAGACGCACCTCGACTCATTTTTAACCCTCGATTGCCATTTACAACTACTCAAAACCACAAAATTTCATAACTTCTGCAGATCGTTCTTCACGCTTACGATGTACTCCGTGTACGGAGAGGTATCGAGTGTATCAGTAAAACGTATGTCTCCTGTCTTGAAGATCGTCGGGGCGCATCCGGCCTCCTCGCGGGTAATCGAGGCGGAAGTGCTGTGGGCTCTCGAGAGACGTGTGGCGGCCTTGGAACGGCAACTTCGGGAGCAGCAAGAAGCTCTGTGCGCGTCGCCATCCTTCACTCTTCGGGAACTCAAGCGGCAGGTCGATAGTTTCAAGAACAAGTTGGAACACAACGACCAGCTCAATTGGCTGAGTAAGTTTTCCAACGAGTATCTTTAGTTCCGCGTAAAACACCATTTTTTAAAGCGCTCATCGATAGAAGGAAAAAAATATGGAATGAAAATAAGCGTTTAGTAACTAGACTGTGGATGCTTCTGCAAATTTGTGTTTTTGTTTTTATGTGCTAATTTGCAGAACGGAGATTTAGGCAATATTTTGTATCCTTTATTAAGTTTATTCGTTTATTTAGTATATCAAAGATAAGATCGATCACTACATTATACTGCATTAAACTTTTAATTTTATTCTATAGAACGAACTAATATACAGCATTATACAGAATGTTAATAAAATTGTAGGACACTTTCACAGCGTGGATCCCATATGTGAAACTAAGGCGAAAATCAAGAATGATGAAATTGCATTCGAGGCTTCATTTCCGAGTTGCGTAATAGATATAATACGTCTGACACGGTGGGTTATTTTACTTGTGAGGCGCGGTCTTCAATTGTTTCACGAGTTTGTTTCATTCATCGGATTTTATTTAATTCATAAATTTAACTAACAATATGTCATTAATCGATTTCGTATATAAGCTGAGAATCGACTGTTGTAAGTAGTGTAATCGACCATGCCAGACTTATTTCACGCGTATTTTGCTCATATTTTCAACAACTAAAATAACTTGAAAACGAAAGCCTCAGATGTAATTTCGTCATTCTTGATTTTCGTCTTAGTATGGCTTATAGAACCCACCCTATGAAAGTATCCTACAATTTTTATTAACACCTTGTATACATATACATAAGAGACGGTAAAAACGGTACAGCCGAAACACAGATGACTCTTAACTCTTTGAGTAGTATGGGCGCTTATAAGCGCTCAGGGAATAAATAATATAGCTCATTATGGCCTATAAGCGCACAGTGGGATATTTGACCCGAAAAGCTGGCCAAAACTACGAGTATTTTAAAATTTACTCAATCTTCAAAATCTCATAACTTTCTTACTATTCATCCAATGTTGATGAAACAAAAACCATTTTAAAGTTTGAACTTTCTAATTTTTGATTCTTTGAATAAATTTTATCAAAATGGTTGTCTAGAGGGTAAAATTCACCCTTCGATAGGAGTGTGCCAAACTGTATTTTTCCTTGATGTTCGTCAAGTGCTACGGAGTGCAAACAATATTTTTTTGCAATTTTGAAATATACCACCGGAAAGTACGATCGTTTGTATTTAAAATAGATGAAATCTCAGCGAAGAACTATGTCGTTTAACAAAGATACAGCCCTTCAAAGGAAACCTATATTTTTCAAATGTTTATGTACGGTAAGATATGTATACATATACATATGGTACAATATATACATATAATAGAAGGTCATCAACGAACCCTACTGTTAATAAAGTTAATAACATACTAAAACTTCAATCGTCAGGAATTGACAGACGAAATTTACAATAGGTTAACAATCAACTGACAGAGATGGATGCACGCGGGTCGATTGTATCTACAACCATAAACATTCTGATTTATGGTATATAATATATAAAATAATATATATTGTAAGAATATTTTTTATTTGCAATATATATAGGAAAATTATTTTTCGTCATAAAATGCTGTGCAATATTCTTCATCAGACAGTTTTTCTTGCTTATGATATATCTGTCCTTCATCGATTTATCATCCACACCTCAGTTACCCCATCATCAGATCAACCGTACAATATACGCCTATCGTATGATCCTTTGCTTTCATAACAAGCTAAACTGCATCCAAAATGGATATTTTTTAACGAAATTATTCGAACGAAGTCTTTCATGCATGGCACCGTTCAATGGTCTGCGTTTTTGTAAATGACTATAACTTCGTTAAAAAACATCCGTTTTGGATGCAGTTTGGCTTGTTTTGAAGGCATAGAATCATTATTTCTGAAATACATCCAAAATTCCGAACACTGTTTTCTATAAGAAACATCCGTTCTCAAATATGAACAACATTTTACTATTTGAAGGCCCTCTTCATAAGGGAAGATTTTACCTCTTGGCCACCGAGTTAAATAAAATCGAACAAAAGATTTCAAAAGTAGAAGGTTCAAGTTTTAATTTGCCTTCCATTTAAACAAATTCTGACGAATATTAACAAAGTTATGGAACATTGTATCTCAATAATTTTTCAGGAGTACACATGTGAGGCGATACTTATGAACAGAACTGTAGTTTTAGCAACTCTTAGCACGTAATTTTTCAAGAAGTATATAAAGCAATGTCCAAGGATAAAAATATATCCAAAGTAAAGGGGTGCTTTGGGGTGCAAAAAAGTAATTCAATATTTTATACTTGATTTTATGAAAAAGAAAACACTGTTTTCAAATTGTTATTTTATCAAAACCACACAAAAAAGTGAAGGAAAAAAGGTGCAAAATGACTCTACATATCTTCCTCTATATGCTACATTTGTTGTTATTGCACTTCCTTAACACTTGTAAGAAATCACTTTCTTAATATAGGTTTCTTGGCATTTTCTTCGAGCACAAAAATTGTTAACATTCAAGCCTCAATTTGTTGCTAAATACTGATGTTTTCGAAAAACCAAGATAGCAGTTTACTTTTATTTATTCTTGGCAACATAGGGACAAAGTTTCATTCATTTTGAACAAAGATAAAATTTGGGGTTTTGGCCAGCTTTTCGGGTAAAATACCCCACTGTGCGGCGTTTGTAAGCGCTCTGAAAAATAAGTTCGTCATACCTTATTGGCGTATGTACATGCAGTTAGAGTTGAACGTTCATTGATATTAGATAATAAATGTAGTTTTTATACCATAAATAGTGAGGCACCACAAAAATGAAAACCGCGCAATAAAATCTATAGCACAACATTATTTCTACTTTTGCTTCAATGATACATGGTGTTTGTGCATTAAGCTGCTCCGTACCGAAAGGATCAATTGTTAAAGAAATGGCTCAAGAACAATAGAAAATGTAGAATAATATGTACGTTTTTATATGGGGCTGCGTTTTTTTAATAAATTGGCTTTGAAAACATTGTGCACACACGTGAAATTAAACTGGATTTGAATGACGTGTATTTTTATTACTTACTGTAGTATGTTCTAGAGATGTACTTATTGTGATAAGTATGGTTACGTACTGTAAACACAAATACTTGCATATAAAATACATTTTCAACGTCGATTTCCTCCAAAACTAAGCTCCATATTTGTATAAATAAACTGTATTCTACATTTTCATCTTGGTTTCGTAATAAATTAAACCTTTGTTTTAAAAATATAATTACTCGTTTGTATGCTTTGTTAAGGTAGTGTGGAACAGTGATTCACACTAATGATTGTTGTTACGCAATCATCTCATATTTTCGTTAAAACAAACATTAAAATTTCGTTGATTAATGGTAGATTACTTATCTTTGCACCTGACATTTCTCGTTCTTTTTTTTTTAAATTCTTGTTGGTTCGGTTTGTAAATAAATGTAGGAACCAGTCGCTTTGACTGCTTTAACAATTTCAGTGTTATAGCGGCTGTATACAAAATTTAACGAAAGCTTCATCGTAGACCGTGATAACAATGAGTGTAATCACCTGATACAGTAGACATTCGTTTATTGCCGGCCCTTTTATTGTCGTATAGGAACGCCCTTCGCTCACACGTATTTCTCACACACGTGCGTGCACCCCACTCTGTCGTCTAACACGCCCAGAGCGGAATACATACGGTGTCGCGTTTCATTCGTATATTTCACTACAGAAAGTGAATAAGTGTATATAATATTGTTTTAATAAAAAGTTTCAATGCTTTTAGATGTTTTCCGTTCTAATCAACTACATTTCTTATTATGCTTAATTCATATTGAATATAAGTAGTTATGTAAGCAAATAAATTTATAACAAAGTCTGTGTTGGGCATAACCTCTTTGGGCACAAGAATATTAAATGTCTTCAAGGTGGTTGATCATAGTAATTGAAAAATTGCAAAAAATTCAAAATTCATATATATAGAGTTTATAAATGAGATTAATACCTATTAAAAAGATGTGTTTTCCTAGGGCGTGATTATGCAAAATTTAATACAATAGTAAAAAGTGAAACTGAACCAATAATACTGTTTTATATAAATGATTATTCCTATAAATATTACATATATGAAACAGTATTATTGGTTCAGTTTTACTTTGTACTAGTGTAATAAATTTTGCAGTATCACGCCCTAGGAAAACACATTTTTTTTTAAATAGGTATTAATCTCATTTATAAACTCCATATGTATGAATTTTGTATTTTTTGCAGCTTTTCAATTACTATGATCAACCACCGTAAAAACATTTAATATTCTTATGCCCAAAGAGGTTATGCCCAAAACATACTTTGTTATAAATTTATCTGCTTACATAACTACTTATATTCAATATGAATTACGGGGGAAGACTCCTTTGGGACCAACTCCGAATCGATCGAAGCGCTGATGTAAACAATCGGACGCTAACGAAAACACATAATCGATAATTGGGACAGCTTGATAATACGACATTTAACGGCAGTACCTACAAATAATGAAGCATGTTTTTCACAAACTTTCAAATTTTTCTAACAATGTTCCCGACAACATTTCACGAGTTTTCAACATATACATTTCATTTCTAATGACCTTCCGAACTATTTTGCACAAAAAAATAGCTAAATAGCAAAACGCTCTTCGAATAAAAAAAGTATCTTTATTCGTTGAATAAATTCTCAACGAATAAATTTGTCCATTCAATATTCTTTTTGCGTTCTTTTTACGAAATATATGTGTACGCCTATAATACCCTCATCAATTATGTCAATAAAAGATAAATAAATATCATTTCAAACAGCAGATTTGCATAGTATTCCATGTTTTTGTATATAGAATACCCGGAATATATGTTGCGTCATTTTTACAATTTGTTTCTCCGGAATACCATTTCTAGTATTTCGCATGTAATTCCATTGCTTAAAAAAATAAGCATTATTGCTAGTACGAATAGAAAAG